GAGAGACTCAGCTATCTGGAGCCAGAAGAGCTTCTACCTCCAAGCAAAGACTTGGCACACCAACTACCCATGCGTATGCCCCCAATTCACACACCCCTCGCTCTGGCCTAGCCCCGGCCACACCCCACCAGGTGCCACCTCTCCAGCTGTTGCAAGGCCGTCTTCATGGACTTCACTTGCTGGAAATGGCAGGACATGTCTGTGGCCAACACCATCTCAATGACCAGGGCCCGCAGCTCTCTGAATGGGCAGAACCAGTAAAGCGATCAGCCCCACGACACCGCTAGGCAGGAAGTCCGGGAAGTGGGAAGAGGGGGTTGGGATAATGGGGTCTCTTAGGGACTCCAGCTTCTGGCATCTGCTCACACAAACTCATCCTTGGTGAGATTGATGAAAATGTTCATCTCGTCATCCTGCATCATTCGGAAAACAGAGCTGATGTGGTGATTCTCCAGCACTGAGCGATCGTTGTATAGGATGGCACATTCTGACCTACAAAGCCGAAGGTAAGCATGTTCCTCCTCCCATAGGTGAGGACGCTGGCAACCTCCCCACCTCCACGTGGCCCCCCTGCCCTGCCACATCCCACCCTCACTTGGTCTGGATGTGGAAGCTGTTGGTAGTGCCTGTGTGCTCATAGTCATGGATGGCTGCTGCAAAGATGATCGCCAACACCTCGATTTCCGACAGGCAGTGCTGGCAGAAAGAGACAGAGGATGAAAGGCGGCCAACCCCTCTCCCGGTCACTGCCCAAAGACCTCCACACACAAGCTAGACCACTCAGGCCATCCCATTCTTGCCAGGTTTCTCAGTTCCTGGAATGGCCGAAGACCCTCCTCCATCCCAGCACACATCCCATGAAGTTGCTGTCCACCCAGAAATTCTCTAGAACAAGTCCAATTTGACTCTGAAGACTGTGGGATGCCAAAGGAGAAGAACCAAAGAGAAAAGAAGGGAAATTGGAGTATAGCCTAGATGTCCCAGGTCTGCAGCCATAAAACCCTGAATCACAGAAGAGTGGTCTCAAGGGCACCTACCACCATCCCTGTGCGGAGCAAGAAGCAGTGGACCGTCTGGGTAACATCAGCTGCATGGATCTGGTTGTGGTAAGGGTTCTTGTACTTCCCATAGCCTGTCTCCAAAGCATCCAGGAAAGTCATCAAAAATACAGTGGGAATCTGCAGTAGGAGGGAAGTAATTGAGACACACGTAGGGTCTGAAGGAATGGCAGGAGGCCCAAGACTGAGATCAGCAATGGCATCTTTCTTTAGAAGGCAGCATGGCTTAGGGAGAGAGCACTGGCTCAGCAGTCAGGTGGACCTGGGCTCACATCCTGGCTCTACCACCTGCTGACTATGCAACCTTGGGCAAGTCACGTGCCTCCCTGTGGCTCAGATACTTAATTGCAGATGAAGATAACACCACCTACCTTGAATTTAATGAGATAAGTACAAGGCACTTAGTAAGTGCTCTCTAAAGAGTAGCTATAATTATTATTATTTCCCTAGAGATTTTTAAGAAAAAGAAAGCAAGCTTCCCTCCTACCTTCCAACCACCCTACCCCACCCTACCCCAATCCAATACCATCCAGAAGGGCTCAGAAGCAGGGGGAAGGGTAAGATGATGCAGAGAGGGCCCTTCCAGCCAGATGTGGATTACCCCCAGCCCTGAGAAGCCACACACACACACACACACACACACACACACACACACACACACACACACACACAAAAGCACCAGGAGCCAGAGCTCTGTCCAGCTACTCTCAATTCTGTCTCTGTCCTGCGTAGGCCCTTGGGGTATGTCTGCCTCCTTCAAAGGCTCAGGCTCCCAGAGGACAAGGCTTGTGTCTGTACCTATCCCTGGATCTCCTGAGGCTAGGAGGAGAGCGTGGTTCAGGACCCGGGGAAGCATCTGCAGCGATGAGCGATAGTGATGAGATACGGAAGATGCGAAGATGCGCCACTCACTCATCAGTCAGACCCTAACATCCCCCACCCCCACCCCTGGAGGGCTGTGCCCCAAATTCAGGGAATTTTAAAGGACTGTTTCCAAGACGACTGCCCTTGCTTTTGTGTTGCCATGGCGTCCCTGGAGGGAAGGGAAGGGAAGGGGAGGAGCAGGGGAGGGGCTGGGTGCTGGAAAGGAACGCGGAGCTTGAGAAGGGCAGCTCCGACTGGGGGCTCCACCATGAATGAACACTAAAGCAATAAGTGCCCCCTCGCTCTCTCACTGCCTTGGAGCAAGGCAGACTGGGGCTGGGCCAAGCCCAACCTGATGCAATTATTCTTTGGGTCTCCCCAAAACCAGTCCTTCCAGGTGAGGAAACAGAGTTTAAGAGAAGCTGGTGTCTGGAGTAGACCTGAGAACCAGTTTGGAGAAACATGAGCTGGGAAAAATCTTAGGAAAAAGGGGACCCAGCTGTTCTCTGTCCTGGAGAAGGCAGGATTGAAGGGGGAAAAAAAGAAACTGCAGAAGGACAGGCCTCAGGAAGGCACGGAAGAAAATCCCAACTAAGCATCTCAGGAAAGTTCTGGAAACCCTCTTGGGAGTTGTTAAAGGAGTAAGGGCGGAGGAAAGGCTTACATGCACCACCGGTCTGTTACAGGGACGTTCAGGCAAAGGAGGGCGGGATGATCTTCCAGAGACCTCTGGGAGGGGCCCCTCCAACTGGACTCCTCGACTCCCCCCAAATGGACCCCTCAGAACACACACATTCTCCTCCACTCTAACATCTGCCCACCCCCGCCTAAGTGATGACCAAATATCCCCACTGCGACTCTCCAACCCCCCCCTCACCCTCCACTTCTAAGTGTGGACGTGGTTTTTTCCAGCCTCTATTCCCAACAGACACTCCCTCCTGGCATAGGATCTGCAGAGGACTTGACTCCCATGTTCTTCTAGCTAGCCAAGCTGAAGAGCAAACGGAGATCACACACCCTCCCTCTCCTCACACAGCCCTCCCCAGCCCCGCCAAGAGCTGATCCTCTCCGTAACATTCCTTGGACAGAGAAGTGCTGGGGAGTGGGGGGAGAGAAATGATCAATTTTGTTTCCTCCCCATGCCCCAGGAAACAAATGGAGAGACTCTATCCCAAAGGGCTGACAGCATCTGGACTCTAGACCTCCAGTGTCCACAGGCAGGAGGTAGGACAGCTGAAACAGGGAGGTGAACATGGAGTCAGCCTGGGGAGGTCAAGTTTGGGGGGAGGGAAGCAGAGGCGGAGAGAGCAGAATCCTAGGCTAGAGGGTTGCAGGCCTAGAATCTTCCCCTAGGAAGCAACACACGAAGTCAGAGGCTGGCACTGCAGCAAGTGAAAGAGAGGCCAGACTGGGGTGGGCATGAGCAGACTTCCCTGACAGTGAGACTAAGTGAGGGAGCCTGTGGAATCTACTTGTTGGGAATCTTCTAGAACAGGAGTGACAGAAGTGGAGAATCATGCAAGGCAGGGGAAAGGTGCTGCCCAACCTTAAAGCGGCTGATGAGGTTATGCCGAGTCAGCAACTCAAAAACAATGGTCCTCAGAGCGTGGTCATCTGCTGCCCGGTTCAAGGAAAAGACATCAAAGCACCAGAGGTCCAGGTTCTGTGAAGAAACAACAAACTAGGCAGGGAGATTCCCAAGGGGAGCGTCCCAGGAGCAGCAAGGGCTGCAGTTAGACTTCAAGGGGGACTTCCCAATGACTGCAGAGTCTTGGGAAATAGGTAACCAAAGAGGTGGTGAAATGGGCCTTTCTTCCTGGATATCTCTCAGTATGGGAGAGGCAAGAAGGCAGAAGTTTGCCTCTGGAGTAGGCAAAGTTTGTTTTGAAGAACATGAGAAGAACAGTCAAAAAAGAAGGCAAAGATCACCCCATACACAGAGTCTGAAAGTCCCAAAGGCCATTTCCATCCCCCAACCTTCTCCCCTTCCCCAAAAACCCAGGGATCACCTTGAGACAGTTGAGGACCGCCGTGGAATAGGTGGGGCCCACAGAGGTGTATGTTCTCCGGAACATCCTAGAGGAGAATAACGAAAAGAGGTCCCAGTATGAAGGTCTGGAGAGGGACTGGGGTCTGATCAGGTGGGCATGTGGTGCCATACTTCTGGTGGGGGCCTGGAAGACCCAGGTGGCTGGGAAAGAGGGACGCGACTAGAGGCAGAGGGAGGCCGAGCGTGGGCGAGCCTCACCGCTCCACGAAGATCCCGGCCTGCACGGCGTGCACGATGCTGCGGAACTTGGGCTTCTCCTCCGCTCGGCGGCCTTTGGCCCGGGCCTGCTGGGTGAAGGTGGACGCCAGCCAGTCCCGCACCTCCGAAGGCACAGCATCTGACCGGAGCTCCTGCAGCTCATCGTCCGTGTCCAAGATTTGCCTGAGGCCCCGGAAAGGGTGTCACAGGGGAAAGACAGCAAGTGCTTTCACAACCTAGAAAACCTCGGGCCCAGCCGCACCCTACACCTCGGTAACTCTCAGGCCAGCTCTCTCCCTTCTCCGGACCTCCCTTGCCTTTCTCTCGCTATGTCTTTTTATTTCTGTTTCTCTCCCTCTGATGACCCCAGTAATGAAACAGGTCACTATGTGAGGTCTGTGAGCATCCCAACTCTGGAAGCGTTCAAGCAGACACTGGAATACCACCTGTCAGGGATGCTATAGACCAGCAACCCTGTCCAGCAGAAAGAAAATGCAAGCCACATATAAGTGACTTTAAATATCCCAGTAGCCACACTAAAAAGGTAAAAAGAAACCGGTGAAATTCATTTTAATGATAAATTTTCTTTAACCTAATACACCCAAACTATCATTATTTCAACATGGAAGCAGTATAAAATATATTGATGTGACAGTTTATTCTTTTTTCTAAAGCTTGGAAATCCAGCATGTTTTTACAAATACGTACACATCTCACTTCACATTTGCCACATTTCAAGCCCCAATGGCCACGTGTGACCAGTGGCTCCCACACTGGGCAGTGCCGATCTGGAGGGATTCCACACGGGGAAGAAGGCTGGGACTAGACGATATTGAAGACAACAACCGTCTCTCCTTCTTCACACTTGTGTCTGTCTCTGTCTCTGCAACCCCGTGTCTGTCCATCTGCCTCCTTACCTCTGCCGATATGTCTACCTCCAGCTCTTTCTACCTGCCCCTGCCACTCTTCCTCCGTGCTCTGGCCCTGTCACAGTCTCCATCTCCAGCTTTGTCTGACTCCCAGTCCCTGGGTCACTGTGTCTGGCATCTTCCTCCTCTGTGAGTAGGTCTCTCCCCAAGGCCCAGCATCACCACTGTCCCCTCTCTCACCGGGTCTCATCTATATAGACGGCCTCCAGCAGGGAAGCTGTGTACTCCAGGTTTTTCTTCAGCTCCTCAATGTTGACCTCCCCATTCTCCAACTGCTTCACCATGTAGCGTAGCCTGGGGGGCAGAGAGGGCGGGGGAACAGACATCTTGCTTAGGTGCCACTACCTTGTCATGAGGACAGGATACCTTTCATAGAGTTGATTTTACAGACACAGCTTCAGCCTTCCATAAACCATTAATCATTCTAACAGTAAGAATAATAGCAGCTCATGTTCTTCATCGCGGGCTACTGACACTGCCTGTATTAAATTTATTATATCTACCCCCAAAGTTTAATCCCAGGATTTTCCTGACTCCACTGTCCCCACCCACCTCTCTGACCTCTTAACACCCGCCTTTAGTCCGAGTTTCCTGAACACATTTGTTTAGACTGCCCAGGGCCCAGCAGAATTAGGCAGGTACAAGCCCCTGGGGTGTGGGGGGGGTGGTCTTTTCCACAGTCTAAATAACCAAGAGATGAAGCTGTTTATTTCCCCCCATGAAAGAGGGCTCTGGGAACGACAGCAATCAAAAAAGTACTCAGGATTCTTTCATTGTTTCTCAGTCATGGTGGGGAGGGGGGTACATGTCCGTAGCCCCTCTGTCCCTGGCAGAGATGGCAAAGACACAGAACAAAGAGCAATCTGAACGCTTTCGCCTGGCCTCACTCCATCCAGGCAGAGCTAATGGATTATGATTTCCAGAATCCATCAACCAGGACAAAGCAGGATTAACCCCTGCCTGCCCAGGGTCAGAAAGAACCTCTGGCAAAGGGTGACTGTACCTCCCCCAGAGCCAAAGTGACGGGGGTGGGGCCAGGGGTCTCACTCACGGGATTCTTTGCCTGAAGGGACAACCCCTCATAGTTTGCACTCATGAATTCTGGGGGTCCATGATTAACTGGGAGGCTTCTTAGAAGTCTGGCGAGTCCAGCCCAGGCAGCCACAAAGCAAACAACGCTCTCTGACTTTAGATGATTTTAAAGAAAGTGATTAAATATTCCCCTCTCTCTTTTTTCCCCAGCCCCTCCCCACCCCCTCTAAAACCAGGATGGGGGTGAAATGGTGGCTATCACAATTCCCCACTGAGAGGGGCTTCAGAAACCCAAGGTCACCCTCTGAGTCAGGGAGGAGAAGAGAATGAGTCAGGGAGGAGAGGCTGAAATTAGCATCAATTCCCAGGGATGCTGAGGGAGGGAGAACAATGGCATTCCTGAACAGAAGCAGCTCTAGAATCCCGGGGTCTCAGCAGCTTTGGAATAGGGGTGCCCAAAATAGTCAGCCCCAGGAAGCATCACAGGCCAACTCTCGCCTCAGGGACCAGCAGTCCTGGCCAAGACATGTCTGAATACAAAAGGGGCAGAGGGAAAGGGGGGAAACGGGAGGGTGCCAGTGCAGCCTCCTCAGCGGACTGCCTTAAAACCCCACTCCCAGCCTTCCTGCTGCACACGCTCCATGTGGAAACAGCGGGTTGTTTAACAAGAAAGAGGCCGGGTTGAGTAAAGCTCAGACCCAGCTACAGCTTCAGTAGGAATAGAGACTAGACAACAAAAAAGGCTTTCCAGCCAATGAGCTAGAAAGGGGGGTCCGAGTCAGCATCTCCCAGAGTGCCGCCCCAGAGATCACAGAACAAAGAGGAACACTCTGCCTTTGGGGCCCTGGCTCAGCCGGACTTCCCACTCCAGGTCAATCCCTGTGGCCAGGGGCCCTTGAATCTGGGGACACCCAACCTAGGAAGAAAGGCCTGTGGTTCCATCTCCCCACCACCAGCAGCACCCCCCCACCCCCACAGATTCCTATCCCAAGCCTAATCTTCCACTTTGGTTAGCCCTTTCTATAACTGAAAACTCTGCCCCTAGGGGTCAATGCTTTCTGTCAAAGTTTCTTCCTAGATCCCCAGGCAACGCCCACCCCCCCTACCCCCAACACACCCAACCCTCCTGAAAGACACATCCCAGCACAGGCTCCCAAAGTGAACAGTTAAGCCCATGGATGCTCATTTGCATGTATTTGTATAATCACTAACAATGCTGCCAGCTCTACATTCTAAAAAGTACTTTCTCTTACTTTATCTGATTTTATCCTCACAATGGGCAGAGAAGGAGGGAGGGAGGGGATGGAGGGAGGGAGGGAAAGATTGCTATCCCTATTTCCAATGCAGAAACCAAGGCTCCAGGCAGGTCTGCAAGGCAGCAATCCTGGATTCAAACCTGTCAGTTCCTGGCTCTGAGCCCTTGGGCGAGCCTCTAATTCTCAATCACTATCTATCAAAATGTGGCCGGTAGATCACTGGCATCAGAATCACCAGGGATACTTATGAAAAATTTAGATTCTAGGCCTCACTGAACACCTACTGAACCAGAACGTCTGAGGGTATAGTCCAGGGATCCGCTTAATAAACGTCCCAGATGATTCTCATGCACCTTGAAGTTTGAGAGCCTTTATTTTAGAGCAGCGGTTCTCAACCTGTGGGTCGCGACCCCTTTGGAAGTCGAACGACCCTTTCACAGGGGTCACCTAAGACCATCGAAAACAAAAAGATATTTACAGTATGATTCATAACAGTAGCAAAAGTACAGTTATAGAGTAGCAATGAAAATAATTTTATGGTTGGGGGTCACCACAACACGAGGAACTGTATTAAGGGGTCGCGGCATTAGGAAGGTTGAGAACCGCTGTTTTAGAGACTCAATTCTTTCATCTGTAAAATAGTGAGGGTGATAATAAACCACCTGAGAAGGGCTATTTATAAGAGGGTTAAATGAAATAACATATGCAAAAGGCCTGGCACATACAACGGGATTCTATAAATGTGATTTGGATTGGAATTAACTGACCAGCATCATGCTGGCCCTACCCAGCTCACAGCTTGCTCCCTTCAAATTCAACAGTGCCTGCCTTGTCTATCCCAAGTCCAGGAGAGTGAGTCTAGTTTGGATGGAGTCTGGTAATTAGGAAGCCATCTAACAGAGGAAATGGGAGAATGATAATGGCCATTATCTGTCCTTTACAAACTTCATTTGAGCCTCACAATCACCTTATGAGTATGAGGGAGGTTGAGTGACTTGTCCAAGGTCACACAACTTGTCAATCTCAGTTAGATCAGCAAGCCTACAATTCACACTACCGGAGCTTTAACTGTGCCCCAAACACCAAAGGTGTTGGGCAGAGAGAGCTCGATCGTGTAATTAACTTGGAGAGAGGCTGGAGCCCATTCCGTCGTCACAACTTCTTCAGTCTCAGTCATCCATCCTTCATGAAGTGTTGGTGTCTGTCACCTCATAGTAGACTGTGCATATCTTCATGGCACTGACAGTGAGTTATTTATCCTGGCTACTGTACGCAGAGCACACAATATGTGCTCAGTAAATGTTCATTAAATAAATAAAAGGGAGAGGAGGCAAATTAATTAAGTGAGGAGCTATCTGCCAGCACTCACATTTGAGATCCCTGAGCCAGCGTTTCTCTCTAATGGAAAGCCTGGGGAGAAGAGTGAGATCTAGGCTGGCTTTCAACACACCCCCTCCCTCCAAGTTCCTCCTGCCTCCACCTCTAGATCTTGTTCAGGAGCTTTTATAGCCCCTGTTGGAATCTGAACCCAACACAATCCAGACACCACAAGGAGAGAGGTAAAGAAAAATTAAAGAATATATTTGATAAATGGGGAGTCCAAAAGGGGAACCTCGACTCAGTCAGCTGGAAGGATCCAGGTGCTTAACTTCACCTTCCTGAAGTTACATAACTCCCCCACGCTGCCACTTTCTGGCCTGGCAGGGGCCTCTCTGATTCTAAAGTCCTTCAGAGTTAAGGCCTCCCCTGACCCACCCAAAGTCCTCACCTTGGTCATTCTTCTGCAGGAAGTCCTACTCCCCACCCCCCACATCAGTTTTAATCCAACCAGTCTGGTCCAGTCCTCAGGGAATCTGGCAGGGAACTGTCCCTTTCCCTGTGAAGCAGGATGCTCACCCTGTCCCGTCCTCACCCAGCCCTAAGGAGTGCTGGAAGCTTCCCCAACATTCCTTCCACCTCCACCCCTAGCCCTACTTCACCGCCACCACTTCTCTCTCCTTTACCTTCAGTCCCTGCACCATGGGATAAGCCTCAGATCCTGACCCTTGGAAGGCCCCAGTGTCTCCCAGCTCTGGGCAGCCAGCTGGAAGAGAAGGTTCTGGGCAGTAATAATCCCAACCCCACAGAGGAGCTCAGCTTCCCAGCCCCAACCAGTTCATTTCCTTTGATCACCACGTGGCTGATGATCTGGCAACCTCCAAATACCCCTGCCACTACTTCCAGAATTCACACGCCCAAAAAGATTGCTGTAAGTAGGGGGCTCAGCACAGGGCAGGCTCAAGCCAAGGGCTGGGAGTTGTGAGAAGAATCCTATTTCCCTTTTGGGTTCTTAAGACAAGAGGAAGAGATTCCAGAGGAATGTGAGGTCCTAAGGATGCTGGGGGTCGGGAGGGAGAGAAAGGGGGAAAATTCTGCTGAATCACCTGCCATAGTCAAGAGGAAGTGATAAAAAGGAAAGGGAGAGGGATAAGGGAAGAGAATAAAGTAAAGGGCAAGATGGATGGGGTAAAAGGTAGAGAAGTATACACATACGCACAATACAGAGGGTGCCAAAAAAATGTATACACATTTTAAGAAAGTAGAAAACTGCATTAAAATTGTAATAGTCAATATATACCAATAACAATAGATGAATACAAGTCACGTTTGACTTCTGCAATTACAAGAGGTGCTCAAAGTGGTTACCATGAACATAATCTTAATAAAAGTTTTTTTCTTTTCTTAAAATGTGTATACATTTTTTTTGGCATCCTCTGTATATATATACTGGCAAGTTTTGATCCCTCCCCTCCACCAAATTACAACTGGTGGGCCCACAGCAAGCTGTCCTCCGCTCTCCCTTCCTTTCTGGAGCCTACCTGAGGATGGGGCCCTGGAGGTGGCTCCTCTGCACAGGAACAGGCTTTGCCATGGGGAATCAAAGTTTCTAACTTCAGAGCATCAAAATGCCGCCCCCAGGACCCCAGGGCTCCCTTTTGGGCTCCTGACTTCCTCCTCTAGGTCTCA